ATATATATATATATTAAAATTGATTGTTAATTCACTTATATATTTTATAATTTACAGGTATAAATATATTTTTACAGATATATATACATATGATTAAGAACAATATTTACTTGTCAAAGACAATTGTTTCTCATAACATTATTAAGATTAAAATATACATACAGAAATATTATTAATATATTATAAAGTATTTACTATTATCGTGAAATTGTATTAAATACAATTCAATGCAATGGTTCGACAAAAGATAATTATAAATATATTCAAATATGTTCAAATAGTTACAAAGTCTAATTATGTTTTTGCTAATATGTATTTATTACATCAAAGAAAAAATATATTTATGACATATTTGCAACAAGTTAACAGAATAAAAAGAAATTATAATACTTATCAGTGGAAAAATACACCACAAACTAAATTTTTTATTGTATCAGGTAGTTTTTTATTAATTTATTTAAACCTAAAGAAGAAAAAGATGATATTGAAGAATTAAAAATGACAATTAAACGATCAATTTTATTAATTCAGGTTAGATATAATATTTTTATATTATCATAATTAATGATAATATAAAAATTAAACATATTGCATAAATAGTTAAGTGTTGAATGCAATTTCTTATTTTAATGTCATTTTAACATAAATAATTTTTTCTAATATTTATAGAAACAAGAATTTCTAAAAGCAGAACAAATGCTACATATTGCTTTAAATCAAGCTCAAATTTTACAACATTATGATGGTATAACTTATGTATATGATGTAATGGCAAATTTAGCATACGAGATAAATGATTTTAAAAAAGCAGAAAATCTATTTATATCAGTTTTAAAAAGATTAATAGCTAAAGGAGTTCCACAAGATGATTTAGCAGTCATTCATATTAGTCTTAAAATTGCTGATATTTATGATAAGATAGGAGATACACAGTAAGCAATCATATAGTTTTATTTATTTTTCAATTGTATTTTTTTTAGAATTCTCTATGAAATATACTCAGTGATTTAATATAAAATATTTTACTATTATAGAAAAGCAGAAAATGGATATAAATTTTGTTTACAACATTTACAAAATCATTTAATTAAAGATAGTCAAAATCAAGATATATTACAGTTGTTAGGTTTGACATTGGAAAAATATGCATCTATGCTTTTTTCACAATCACAGTATGCTAATGCTTTTGAATATTTTACTCAAGCTTATGATATATCTATAAAAATAAATGGTGAAAAAAATGAACAAACTGTTATTTTATTAAATAATTTAGGAAGTGTTTGTTACATGTTACAAAAATATGATCAAACTATTCAATATTTATCTAAAGCTGCAGAACTAGGTAATATTAATATTATTTTATTATCTTTATATTAGTTTAAATGTATGAATTATTACATTTTTAGGAAAAAAATTACCAGATATGATTGAATTAAGTTCTGTTTATGTCAATTTGGGAAATACATTTATTGCAAAAGGACTTTATGAAGAAGCAAAAAAAAATTGTAGTAAAGGAGAATATTTAGCAAAAATTAGAAATGATAATGAAACTATAATGGAAGCTAAAAAATGTTTTGAACAATTAAAAAGTTTAATATCTTAATATAAAATATTAAATATGATTATTTCAAATTTGTTTTAAATTATAAATAATATATTAAAATTATGTGTTATATTAAATTAAATTATATAATATATATTGTAATTATATATAATATATAATTGTACGATATATCAATTTACATAATGAGAAAATATTAAATATATTTTATTTAATATAAGATTTTAATATAAGATTTTTCTTTTATTATAATATGAGATTATATATTTATGATATATTTGTTATAATTTTTTGATAAAAAATAATTGATAAAATTATAATTTTATATCATATGTATTATTAAATTTATTAAAATATGAAAATTCTATTCTTCTAAAAAATTCCACTCTTTTAGAAAATTTATGAGATTTTTACTCTTTTCCTTTTTATATAAAACTTAAAATTTCTTATAATATATATAGCAGTTGATCTAACTACAAACAAAATTTATGATATTTTATTTGAAATTGAAATCATGATTTTTGTAATTATATAGAATGATATTTCTTTATGTATATAAAACTATCTATGAACATTCACAAAAAAGTATATAATAAGTATATAATAAGTATAGAATATAATATAAAAGATATATCAATTCACAATATAAACAAATTTTTAAGACAAGTTTCATAAAAAAACATTATTTCGTATAGTTGAACACAAAATGGTTTATACAAATAAATACTTGTAATATTAAAAATCAATATTAATATTTAAGAAAAATATATCAATATCTGATTTTATATTATTCTTGTTCGTATTATTTCTTACGAGACTAGTAATAGATTATTTTAGTTTAGATTTTAATATTTTCCAATACATGTTAATAACTCTTTTAGCAATTTTATATTTATGATATTTCTTATTTATGATGAATGATATTTAAAATTGTACTGATTTTTATCTTTGTATTCGCTCTATTATTTTTCATAATACTAACATTTATAATAATCATACAGCATTGCTTTCACTGGTATTCATGCTATATAACATATTAGAATAGTCACTAATATTCATTAAGTAATATAATTACAATATTGTAAAAATATAAACTCTAATTTTGAGTTCTTATTATAGCAGTCAAATGAATTATTAAGTGATCACAATATATTGAAAAAAATGTAATATAAAACTATTCATATTCTGCTATAAGTACCATCATATATACACCTAAGAGAAGTGCAATAATTTCTTTTACAGATTGTCTAAAATTAGTATCTGTTAAAAGTTCTGGTATTACAGACACTGTAGCTATATAAATAAATCCACCAGCTGTAAATGGAAGAATCCACATAGTTGCAAGATCACCTAAAAAATTCAATGAAAAGACTAAATTAAAATTTTTAATTAAAAGACATTTAATATTTAATTAAAAGATTTATAAATATAATATATATTAAAATTTGTTTGAAGTATATAATTTATTCTTACCCATGCCTTCTGCTAGTAATGATACATAAGTTCCTAACAAAGCACCTATAGCAGTACTAAGTTGAAGCATCATAGCCTGTAATTAAATTAACATTACATAATTATTATTATATAATATTAAAAATTTCTTTTGTTAATTATATGTTTTTTGTATCTTACTTTTTGTTTACTATAACCACTTTGTATTAAAATAGCAAAGTCTCCTATTTCATGAGGTACTTCATGTAATAAAATTGTAAATGTAGTAATATAACCAATATTTTTTCCAGCTAAATAGCTAGCTCCAATAGCAAGACCATCTGTAAAATTATGTAAAAAATCTGCAACTAAATTTAAATAACCAGCAATTTTAATTTCATTTTGTATATTTTTTGTTTCTTTTTCTTTAGAAATAATATCAAATTTATCAATATCTTTTTGTAATTTGCTATCATCTTTGTTTTCCTTTGATAGCTTTTCTGTGATACTTATCTTATGTGCATGTAAATGACTGTGATCACTTTTAATAATTCTCACTGCTTTTTCGACAATTAAAAACATGATAATACCTAATAATACACATAAGCCAACAGACATATCATGTCCATGATTTGATTCTTCATCATCTTTATTATGAGAATTTGTATATGAATGTACTTCTTCAGAAGATTCATATGTATGAGGAATTAAAGCATGAGGAATTAAATGTAAAAATGCATCTCCTAATAAACCACCAGATGCAAAACTTAATAATACTTTAAGCAATGGTTCACATTCTTTAGTATTATCTAAAGGTACAAAGAATAAAATAAAAAAGGGAGCTGCTGATATAATTAAAGTAGATGCAGTAGCTTTAAGAATCACTTTGTTGTAAGTTCTGTCAGATAAAACTGATTTATATTGATGGTCATAATTATCATTTTCATGTTTATGTTTATGTATAATTTCTTTATGATGTATAGAATATTGATTCTGTAAATATGCTTCATTGGCTTCCTTAGTATATTTAAAGCTTGGTGACTTTTCATGTTCATGAGCTTGACAAAGACTTGGTAAATTTAAAATTATTAGCAATAAAAATGTGCCAAGTGCAATTCGTAAAATCCATTTATTTGTATGATTTCTTTGTTGGTTATCTTTTGTCATTATGATCGTTTTTATAATTTTGCACAAATTTATTAAAATACAGCTGGACTATGTATTGTTGCAAGTGCATAAAAATGCAAAAACTTTAATATTATAATTATGAAAAATAACATTAAAAAATTGCGGCCACGTCACTGAATAATGTGTTATCAGAATAAAGTTGTTTAGTTTTTTTAAAACTAACGTATTAACGTTGGTAACATTGACTTGTTAATAATTCTTGGTTATTGGCTATTCTGATAGCTTGTAAATTTTAAATTCAAGAAATGGTTGTGATAATAATTAAGAATGTACTATATTTTAAATAAAATATCAGCAAATTAATCAGTTTGTTGTTAATAAATAAACACATAATTATAACATTAAAGTATTAAATATGATATAATTTTGTAAAAAGTTTATTTTTATCTTTAAATCATTGTTACGAAAAAATTCGTTAGAGATTCGTAATAGAATCTAAACTGTGGATGGCGGAAATCCTCAAATATTCCACGTGAATTGTCAAAGATAAAATTTAGTGAGGTTAGTTAAAAGAAAATTTTTTGATTTAATTAATGAAATTTTGATATATAAACTTTTAATAGCATGTCACATAATACTTTAAAATCTATGAAACATGGATTTTATGACGCCATTTTTTCAAGTTCACCTATTAATTTCGATAAGGAAAATATTAATTATCTAAATGAGAAGTAAGTTTTTTTTTATATTAATATATATATAATTATTAAAATATTATGTATTATTTATTTTATTATTTTATAGGGAAGAAACATGTTCTGATAAACTTGATACACCTCAAAAAAGAATTCAAGATCATAATGAAAACAAATATTTAAAATTGAAAAACATAAAATATTACTTGACAATGATGTTGAAAATTCAAAAATAACAAATACACCTTGTTCTATAAATCATTTTCGTTCAAAGTCTACAAATTATCTTAAAAAAAAACAAACTTTATTGTCTGAAAATGAAGCAACTGATTTAAAATGTAAAATTTCTACAAAAGCATGTACAACTTCATTAAGTGAAAAAATTTTAACCATGCATTCTTATACTCCTAAACAATATAAAATTCATACTGCTATGAGTAGTTCAAGAATAAATACCTTACCTTCAAATAAAACACCTATAAAACGTTATTTTAGTGATAATGTTTTATCACAAGCTACTCCTGATTGTTTTAATGTTGTTCAAGTTGAAACACCATCTAGTAAATCAAATGAAATTGATATTGAAGATCAAACAGTATATGAAGAAGAAAATACTAATTTAACTGTAGGAATACGTGTTAGACCTTTAAATACAAAGTAAGTTATTATATTTTTGAACTTTTTTTTTTTAAATAATATTATGTTGTAATATTTTCTTTTTTATTTCTTATGATTTTAGAGAATTAAATGATTCAAAAATTACATCTGTTATACAAGTATATGGTCAAAATATTATTGTTACTTGTGAATCTGTTCAACATACTTTTACATATGATCATTGCTTTATGTCACATGTGGATATATCACAGCCTGGTTACGCTAATCAAGAAATTGTTTTTAAAAATATGGTTCTACCATTAGTGCAAAATGCTTTTGAAGGATATAATGTTTGTTTGTTTGCTTATGGACAAACAGGTTCTGGTAAAAGTTATAGTATGATGGGTCAAGAATCTACTCAAATTAATGCATCATCATTTGATGAAGCAATTGGTATTATTCCAAGATTTTGTCAAGAAATATTTGCAAGAATATCTAATAATATGAACATTGAAACTACAGTAGAAATTAGTTATTTTGAAATTTATAATGAGAAAATACATGATCTTTTAACAAATGTTAACAGTGGAGTAAAAAGGGCTCCTCTTAAAGTTAGAGAACATCCTGTATTTGGTCCATATATTGTTGATTTAAGTCAACATTGTGTACAAAATTATAAAGATTTACAAGTATATTTTTAATATATTATACATTATCATATATATATAATATAAATATATTTATTTATAAATGTATTTATTTTAGACTTGGCTTAAAGTGGGTAATTCACAAAGAGCTACAGCAGCAACTGGAATGAATGAAAAAAGTTCCAGATCACATAGTATATTTAGTATTATATTAACACAAACTCAAATAAATAACCAATTAGATAATGGATCTATAGATGCTAGTCGTCGAAGTAAAATTAATTTAGTAGATTTAGCAGGAAGTGAGAGATTAAGTCAAACTTGTGCAAGTGGTGATAGATTAAAGGTATATTATATTTAATTATTTAATTATTGTTTAATAATTTTTTTATAATATATCATTAATTGTGCATTTTATAGGAAGGTGTATCTATTAATAAATCGTTATTAACTTTGGGAAAAGTGATTGCGTCTTTAGCTGAAAATACAAGTAATCGTAAACGAGGTTTTGTTCCATATCGTGAATCTGTTCTTACATGGTTACTGAAGGTAAGTACTATTAAATTATTAAAATAAAATTTTATGTAATTAAATAATTTTCTTTGTTAAATCATCATTAACAAAATTTATTTCAACAGTTTTTTAAATATCTATTTTATCTAAATATAATGAAATATTTTTTAAAAAATATTGAAATATTATGAAAAAAATATTTTTTAAAAAATTATTTAATATAAGAATTATTTTATATAATATATAATATAATATAATATATATAATATATTAATAAAATTTTTTCTATAAAACTTATTATATGAAAAATAAAGGGAATAGTCATAAATAAAAAGATGAATAGTATGATATAACTTTGTGTATTTCTTATTTTTCATATTATAAGTTACAATAAACTATTTCCTAAATTAATTTTAAAATAAATATATTTTAATACCTTTTTTATAAAAAATAAGTTACATCGATTAGTTACTATTAAAAAATTATATGATTTCATTTTAAAAATTGAAATTAACTTTTATATAATCTATATATTTATAAAAAAATTATTAATAAAACTATCATGTATTTTTTTATACTAAACAACTTTTGTGAGAAAATTTTTTTTCATAGTTATTTTTTTTTTTTAAATATTTTTTTGTATATAAACACAAAAAAAATACTCAACAACAAAAAAAGACTCACTGTATACTATTATATATTTAAATTTGTAATTTTGTAAAGTTTTAAATTAAATTCGCTTTATTTTTGAAAATATTTTTTTTTATATAGTTTTTTATATAATACATTCAGTCTTATGAATTATTCAATTTTTCATTGAATATTTAATTAGTTTAATTTAATATAAAAATACTTCTTAAGCATCATAACATCATTAATTTTTGTGGAATAAAAAAATGCATATTAATTTATAATTTAATATTATGTTAACTATAAATTATATTAATATCCATTTTAGTGTTCATCACTAATATCTCTCTCTCTTTCTCTGTCTCTCTATATATATATATGAATTCTTCGAAATAAAACTTCGGAGTAAATTTCAAGTAATGATATACCGAATGATATAAATTACTGAAATTTACAATTACGAACATTAATCTCTTATTTGATTCATATTCATTTCCTCTTTTTCGTCCAAATTGAAGAAATCATCTATCCAAATAAGTATTCGATTCAGATTATGTACGATAAATTGGGCATTACTACTTGTGAGATCTTTAACTAGATAAATATATGTAATGTTTTTATATATTTTTATATTTTATATGTAACTTATGAGTTTTTCTTGCTTTTTTTTTCTTTCGTCAAATTTTGAAAAATAATGAATTCATATCCAAATAATATATATATTTTATATATGGAAAAAATTATTGCAATAGAAAACTTAAAATCGTATATATATTTTTATGAATTTTTTCTATTTTAGTATCTATATACTTGCTATACTTTCATACAATTAGATATATTTAAATTATAAAATATGATTAAAGATATTTTCTCTATTATTATTTATAATTTTTTTCACTTCGTTATTAACTTCTTAACATTCATTACTTTTTAAAGTTTTTTTTTAACATTTTATTATCAGTGTTCAAATTCGTTTCTTTAATGCTTGTGTTATCATGTTCTTCTTCTTCTTCATGAATTTCTTGACAAGAATTTCTTCGCAATTTTCCTTTTATATAAGTAGTTAGGATTCTTCTTTTATTTTCTCGACATAAATAACAATTTTCTTTTGAAAATGTCTTCTGCTCGTGATGTTGTTGCAATAAACGTTGGGAATAAATTTGTGTTGATTTTCCTGAAAATGATTTTATTATTTCTATAATAATAATATATGATATTTGTACTATTTTATTCTTTATTATTTTATTTTTTAAATGTTATTGTTTATAATAAAAATGATATAGGTTTTTAATATTTAATTTTTTTTTTGAAACAAAAATTTTCTTTTTTAATTTTTAGATTTCTATTTTAAATTCATTAATTTGTTTTATCTTGTTTTCTACCATTAGTTAACTAATGTTCAAAGTTTCAAACATCATCGTGCGTTACAGCACGTAGTCAGTTTGCTAACTTATGACTGTTTTGTAATCGAAAAATATTTTATAATTAAAAAATATAATGCATCACATTTATTTCTTTTGAAATTTAGCTTTAATAAATTTTGCTATAAATAAATTTGATAATTTTGTATAAATCTCTTAAAATAAAAATTATTATATTTTATTATATAAATTATAATAGTAAAGAAAAGACAGAGAAGAATAAAAGGGAGTACAGTAAAAGATGATTGATGTTTCAGATAAAAAAATTAATAGATAAAAATTTTAAAATCAAAATCATAATTTTGAAGAAATAATATAGCGAATTTTTATTAGATAAAACTAGAAATAAATACTATCAATACAGTTTCTTTTATTATTTCAATTATATTATTTAATAACTTGATTCAACTTTAAATATATGCATATAAAAATTATTAAAAGAAATTTAGTCGATTGAAATATTTCTTTTCCTAGTATATAAATTTGTTAAATAAAATTTGAATTGGAAATTTTATATAAATTTATATTCAAATATCAATATTGACTATTATTATTTATTCCGATATCATATTATTATTTCCATGAATGCACTTTTACATCGAAATATGACTTATATAATTGAAATTTCGATTTTAAATTAAAAAAATAACTTGATTAATAGTACAAAAACAAATTTTATATAAATCGTGAAATATTT